CGACCTTCCCAGGGTGGCTTTTCTGAGCGCAAGGTGAGCGGTAAGGAAGCGCCCGCCTCCTCGGCATTGTCATTGGCCCGCAGGCCCCCGAGTCAGGCTGCTCTCCTCCACCCTATTGGTCAGTGAAGGCGGTAGCGAGAGCTGCCAGCCAATCGCTTTCGCCGGCGCCGCGGGGCGTGCCGGGAGCTGTGGTCCCAGGCGCCCCCCGGTCCCGCTCGCCCCAGCCTAGGCGCCCGAGCTCCGGCCCCGCCCCCTGGGAGCCGGAGGACTGCAGTCCGCCCTGCGCTGGGCACAGGCAGCACTGTCAGCAAAGAGCCGCAGCGGAGGAAGGACTGCGGAGCGGAGTCTCCCAGAAGCGGAGCAAGAGTGCCTCCTCGAGCCTCTTCGCGTAGGGAGGAAACTTGGCGCATTCTTGCCATCCAGGGCTGCCGGTGCCTCACATTGAATCCAGGGCCGGCGGCAGGAGCGGCGATGGAGGCCTTGGCAGGCTCGCGCGTGGCAGGTGGGGCGTGCCAGGCGAAATCATCCCATGTTGGCGCTAGTACCTATCTTTCAGCATGCCCAGTTACCAAAGCTAGCCGTGTAGCAAGCCAAACCTGCACCCATCGTGACTCCTGCAACCGAAAAGCACCTGGGGACACCCCCAAAAAAGAAAGCCACAAACCCGGCCCCCTGTCCTTCACTCAGCTTCTTAGTCCCAACATGCTGTCACTGTTTGGACTCAGGGCCTCAAGCTTGCTTAACCCACACCTCTCAGCAGGCGTTTTGCTAGCTACTTAAAGATGGGAGTCTGGCAGAGTTCGCTGCTCAGGCTAGCTTCAAACCTTGATCCTCTGGAACTTAGCTTCCAGAATAGCGAGGAGGCGAGGTGTGAGCAGATGCCCAAAGATCGCCGGCTCAGCACAGCGCGCCATGCAGTTTGCACTGTTCATCGAATCCTTACAGCCTTGCAAACTCAATGAGGCTTGAAATGATACTCTACCAGGGCAAAGTCAGCCGTGACTTACTGATGGTCACTTCCCTACTTGATGACAGCCAGTAGTTCAACCCAGATTGGCCTCACCCCAAAACAGCTCCTCTACTTTGCCATTCAGTAACAAGTCGCCGGAGCTAATGTTAGACAAAATTTCAAAAACTGCTACTGATACCAGGAGCACCACAGCTAGGAGTGAATTGTACATTCAGCTGAGTGCATTGTATATTACTGCTGGAGGAATGGCACTTCAACTACTAAACAGCAAATAGGTCTGGAACTAGTGGCTCATGCCTGTAATCCTAGCTACTCAGGAGAGATCTGAGGATTGTAGTTTGATGCCAGACTGGGGTGCAAAATCTGAGACTCTTATCACCAATTAACCATCTAAAAACTGGAAGTGGAGCTGTGGCTCAAGTAGGGGAATACTAGCAAAAAAAAAAAAAAAAGTCAAGGACAGCACCTAGGTCCCGAGTTCAAGCCCCCACGATTAAAAACAAAAAAGTTACTCAAAGACACTGAATGTGAAGCAGATGGAAATCTGTGACCAGACTTAGAGCTTAGAATGTGCGAATTAAGATGTAGTTGCTTTCTTTCAGTTTTACTCTCACAAAATAATCTGGCAGACAGAATATTCAGATTTTAATAGAAGTGGCGCTGTAGCTCAAGTGGTAGAGCGCTCGCCTTGAGTTGAACAGCTGAGGGACAGCGCGCAGGCCCAGAGTTCAAGCCCCATGACCGACAAAAAAAAAAATCAACTGTACAGATTTTAATAGAATGGCCAACAAAATTAGTCCTGATCTATACTTTGAAACTCAATGTTTTGTTCCCTTTCCATTGTCCACCCCTTGTTTATTCTGAGTTTTTTGTTTTGTTTTGTTTTTGTTTTTTGTCTGTCATGTCACTTGAACTCTAGGCCTGGGCCAGAGCTCTTCAGTTCATGGCGGGCGAGCGGTCTACCACTTGAGCTATAGCACCACTTCCGGTTTTCTGGTGGTTTATTGGAGATAAGTCTCACGGACTTTCCTGCCCGGGCTGGCTTTGAACCATGATGCTCAGATCTCAGCCTTCTGAGTAGCTAGAATGACAGGCATGAGCCACCGGCGCCAGCCATCAGCATCTGAGTATTAATTTTTTGAGATTTCACTTACTCCTGGTTCAGTCTTAGTCTTTCCTCATCGGCATTCTCCATTCTCTGCTTTAGTACTGGGCTACCAAACCAGAACTCGAACTCTCATTTCTTAGTTTTTCTGCCAGTACAGTAGCACAAAAGGCTCTTCCTTAACTTTTCCTCAATGGCTGGCATCCTACCATTTGAGCCACACCTTCACTTTCAGCTTTTTGGTGGTTATTGGGAATAAGAGTTTCTCTGATTTGTCTGCCTCCACTGACTTCAAACTGAGATCCCCAAGGGGCTAGCATGTAGCTCAGTGGCAGAGTGCATACTTAGCAAGTGCAACATACTGAATTGGACGCCCAGAAACAACAACAACAAAAATAGTTAAAAGAAAGCCAGGCCAGGGGCTGGGAAGGTGGCTCAGTGGTAGAACGCTTGCCTTGCAGGCCTGAGGCCCTGGGTTCGATTCCTCAGCACCACATAAGCAAAAAGAAAAAAGCCAGAAGTGGCACTGTGGCTCAAGTGGTAGAGC